CATGCTTTGCATGTCAGTTTTGCTGCAAGCTGCATCGGAGCTGTCTCATCTCATTCTTTCACTTGGGCACATGCTGAGTAACGCACATGGTAAAAGACACCGAGTGAAGTCAGACTGTCAGTCTGCTAGGATCAGAAATAAACAATCCCACAACCCTGCAATCAGCCACACCCTGGGCTTTGGTAACTGACTGGGCCCATGAAGGTTGAAGGCCACTGTATCTGCTAGGATACAAAATCAATCCCCGCAACCCTGCAATCAGTCACACCCTGGCCCCTGGGCCAGGTGTAGTCCGTGCAGCCGCTGGGCCGCCGGCCGCCGGGGATGATGACGATGCCCCAGGCCTCATGTCAGAGAGGAGTCAGCTACAACACGACGCAGTGTAATTTCGAAAGGATTGTATGAATATGAGTCATGAATCATGAACGTCTGACTTTAACTCGGGCTTTTGGTGTCTCGCAAACTCGCAGGTGTAGCGGTCTGCGGTATTCGTAGGTTGCGGCAAGGCTGAGGGTTTGGGCCTTAATTAAGCCTAGGGTTTATAGGGCCGAGGATTTCGGGTTGTGGATCTTCGGGTTTTACGTTTGAGCGTCTGTGGCTTTGTCTGAGGTTGAGGATCTAGGGCTTGGGGAGTTTAGAGCCCAGGGTTTTCGGGTTTTGGGGTTTAGGGCCTAGGTTTTTTCGATATCAGGACTTAGGATTTCAACTTCAAGGTTTATAAGACTGGTGTTACGAGAATCTTGGGTGGTATGAAGTATGGCATACACCAGAATTAGCGAGCCCAACGATATTGCTCGATCGGAAGTGCTGAAGTCGGCAGGTGCATCCACCCGGCAGAGGAATCCAGTTATGTCTCTGGGGAAACTACTGGAAGCGCTTCTTCTAACGCGCTTGCTTCGATCCGCTCTGTCCCTCCCAGAAGTACTGGTTCGTGCAATGGCGTATGTTGTCGGCTCCGTTGAGGCCGAGAGGCTGCGTGAAAGCATTTCCCAGCAACTTGTCCCAATTGGCAGTCCGTACTGTTTTAGCTTAAACGGTTTGTTGTTTGTGGCCCAATGGGGATGCAATCCTGCAGCTGACAGCTGAGGAAGGTTTTCAGTGTACCATCGAGTACACAATTGTCTCATGCTCGGCTGAAACTGGATGCTCTCCTTATGACTCTTCGCCGATCCATGTTTACGAAGCAGGAAACATTCGTCATGATATCCAGCGACTCAAGCCCTCAAGGAGGGCTTGACTACTTCATATCATTGGAGGATCGAATCCGCAATCCTGGTTTGATCATAGATGCCTCGCCAGCCGAGATTGCGGAGTGGTGCTTGAGCGACAACATTCAAACTGCTGTGCTTCCACTTTGCATAGTGGGGTCGGGCAATTCCGATTTGAGTGCAAAATTTGAAGCACTCTTTCACAGCAGCATGCTGGATGTGGGATGCCATTCATTGGCAGCATACAGCAGATGTGTCGTCGGGTTTTGCGCTGACTATGGTGTAGAAGGCCACCTGACACAAGCCCCATCCATCGACATCCAGAAGGTCCTGAGCAGCCGGGTTGCCAACAGCCGTGTCTGGCTGCGGCGGCGTGGTTACCTTCAGCTGGATGACGAACCATTGGACGAGGCATTGGGCAGTTTCGACATCTCTCGCACTATGTTTGTCCCTGGAGTCAAACACATGCTCGATAATGTCGAACAAGACATGCTCGGTGCTCTCGATTGGTATCCGTCTTTCAGTGAAGCTGGCCTGCAACAGCACAGTTTTCCTTTCATGTCATCATTGCAGCTTCAGTCTTTTGCATACTATTTGCCAAGGACAAACCAGAAGCCCACGTAGCATGTTTGCTGAACAGCGCAAAACCCTGGGCCCGAACCGCCACCTGCAGTGGACCTTCATTCCTAAACCAGATGATATCTTCTCAGTTCTCAGTAGCTCAGTAGTCAACCTTAGACCTGTTGGGGTTTATATGGCCCTGCCAAAATCGGAAAGGTTAATCTCGTGGGTCGTGGGCTACGATAATCAGCCTCTAAGGCTTTGGGTTTCTTATTGACTATACTTTACAATGATCGAGCCAAAAGTCTCACATTATTCAGGCTCCTATGCTACAGCCAGCACTTGATACCCTTAACCCCACCCCACCCTTGCAGTTTCACGGTTTCAGGCTGTTGCGGGTTCGCCGCATGCTTGTAGCATGCTGGGTGTCCGGGCTGGTTTTGTTTTTACTTTGGAACTTGGGAACTTTGGGTTTTAAGACCTTGTCTCACCCAATCGCACCAATCCCGGATCCGCCGGATCCCCCGTGTCTTAGGAGATGTTGAAACCAGTGATTCTAGTGCTGCACCTCGAGAGTTACAGAGATCGCTTGGTGGTGCCTTCGGCTTGATTCGGCTTGATCAGGATCCAGTTGGCAGTTGCTCTAGTTGGACTTTCGTGGTCCTCCACTTCTGTTTCATTTTGCTTCAGTGTGGATCCGTGAAGCCATGAGGCAGGGATCGGATGCAGTGATGTTGAATTTTGATGATGGGTTTTGTTGGTGTGGAGTTTGTTTAAGTAGATCTGGGCCAGGGGCCATGGCCAGCCCGGCCAGTGGTGTTGTCTGAATGATAGTGAGACTCGTAAGTGAAGCACTCAGCAGTGCACACCCTCGCATGCCCAAGGCCGCTTGCTTTCCGCCTGGCCACGAGTTCCATGACTTGATGAGTTCTTGGGAGGGAGGACAGTTGGTGCACTGGCGTTGGGGCAGTCTTGTGACCTGTCTCCGTGCCCTCTTGCGCCGCGAAGGAGCGCTTTCTTCAGGATTCTCGTCTCGTTCGTATCAGACAGGAATCAGACACGTACAAGACATTGTGTATGTTGATGCGTAGGTCGGTCGGGTGCTTGTCATGTTCGCGTTACGGGTCCATAACTCAGGATGGGACGAAGCCGCTTTTGCACAAGCACGCATGGCAACAGATCAAGAGGACGCAGGCGCTGGCGGAACCCCCGCTGGAATCACTGGATCGATCGTCAGCCAGATCAGCAAGGCTGTTGCATCGCGACTTTTCTGGGCATATGCGCACTTCCTGTGCATTGTCGCCGGTGCAGTGGAGCAACAGAGTTCCTGGTGTGAAGCTTGCTCATGCCACGAAGATTTGATGATTGAGCAGACGAATTACAAGCGTCGGCTGAGAGCCGTAACCAAGGCTGTCCGTCATGCAGCAGCTGCTCCGGCTCCTGATCGCGGTGCTCTGATCAAGTGTCCTCTCAAAGGACGAAGAGCCCACGAGTTTGCCGCTGGTTCTTTCAAAGCTTTTACTGGAGAGGTCATGGATGTTTGCAAGAGCAAGGTGCTGGCAGTTGCTCTCCGAGTCGAAGGGCAGGACCGATCGAGACTCATCGACGACTTTTGTGCTGCCTCTGATACTTTGGTTTCAACTCTGCAAATAAAATGCGCCCACTGGCAGTTGCTCCCATGGAAACTATGCGGGCTGGCGTCTGAGGACGCCGAGCTCGCCAGGAAGATCGGCCGCGAGTGTCTGGAGCTTTTTGCTGCTTCGGTTACACCTGCAGCATCTTCCTCTTCAGATACGGCTCCACCCCATCAGCACGGTTCCCGGCACTATGTGTCCCAGCTCTTCCTGCAACCCGCTTCCAGGTTGCATGCATCATTTGGTTCCAATGAATGAGGCTGCCGCTGGTAGCCTCGCACAATGCCACGTATATATATGTATATATATATATATATGTATACATATGACCATATGTATACATATATATATATATGAATCTATATGTGAGTATGTATGTATGCATGTATGTATGTACGTATGTATGTAATGTTTGTATATATGTAAGTATGTGTGTATGTGCGTATGTTTGTATATATGTAAGTACGGGGGTGTGTGTGCGTATGTATGTATGTATGTATGTATGTATGCATGCATGCATGTATGTATGCATATATGTATGTATGTATGTATGTATGTATGTATGTATGTATGTATGTATGTGTATATATATATATACTCTCTTATGTAGTAACGTAGTATGTGTCCCCAAAGGGTCAAATCTTAATTCAGGATCTGCCGGGAGGGCTCCACGGTGAGCTCTTGGATTTCTTGGGCGGCGTTCCCCTGCGGACACTGCCGGCTCTGCGGAAATGGGTGGGAGTCTTGCGCCTTCTCCGGTGTTGCGAACGCGAAACGGAGGACAGTCTTGGGTTGCGGCACTTCATATTGTCGTGGAGCCGTGAGTCGTGAGAGTGTGTGTGTGTGTGTGTGTGTATACGGGAACATGTCGTTTATAAGTTGCACATTGGCACATGCACATGCAATGCAAGAAACAGTCTTGGTGCTTGCAAGGAACTTCGAAGAACCATCCTACGTCCTATGTTGTTGATGCCCTTTGCCGTTTGCTGATACTAGGACTAGGACTCGAACAAATATTAACATTCACTTGGATCTTGCCTTGGCAGGGCCAGCACCGCTCCATCAAGCAGGTTTTGGCCAAGTCGCCGAACTCATCTGCCTCCTATATCAGCACAGAGTTGAGACATCCTTTGATGACCCATATGTTCGGCAATCCAACGGCTCACTGGCTGGAGTGAGCACAGAGTTTATACGTTGTGTAGGTTGGCTAAGTGTCGCTGGCTCTTTTCGGTTCTGATAGGCTTGGAAACATTAGGACATGCTGGACCCCAGACCTCCGACAGCTCAATCCCGGAGTCCTGAGTCAGGCCTTGGCGTCTGCCGCGCAGGAGCATCAGAACTTGAACACCCAGAGCGGCCTGTCGTTGTTCGTCGCGCAGTCTGTAGGTGGGCCGCAATGTGTTTCCAGACTGCATGTTATGGTGGGGTGCTGCTGGGTGGGTCCGGGTGGGTGGCTTGAAGTCTAGAAGACAATGACACAGTCCAGCCAGCTACTTGCGAGTTTCGACTTAGCCAAACATCCGAGCCCGAGCCCCGAGCCAATCTTGGTTACCTTTGTTCTGCTCCATAAGTACCGTCCCAGGTGCAAGTGGGAACGATGTCTTTCAAGATCATGAAACGTCTCTTGTACGGGCGCAGCTTGCAGTTTACGGTCGGTGCCACCACACGCCCGGAGGTGCCACAATCATCTGCGGCAGTCACCAGGGCTCACAAAGCACAAGCCGTTCAGCAGGTCCGATCGAAGGCCAAGAAAGACGATGAGCTGATGTGGTTGCTTCTGCAGCATCTGCGGGAAAATTTGAGTTCATCTTCGTGGTACAGTCTGCCTCGAGAAATGCTTGAAGAGCTGAAGATTCAGAAGCTGGGACAGGCTTTGACATCTGCCTTCAGCCAATCAAACACTGGGCCGGTTGTGGGTGCCTTGCCATTGGCAGATGCGACTCACTTCCAACCGATCCGGGACCTCCGCTCGGCCGGCAAGCTTGCTTTGCAGGGCAGAGAGACGGACAGTGTTGCTGTCAAGACACCCAGCAGCTCATTCTTATGCATAGAGCCTGATGACGATGATGGTGTTGTACTCTCGACGTCGCGACACAAGCGAACTCCATCCGGTCGCGAACCTTCGTTGGTTCTTGGGGACACATCGTTGCAGGACTTAGTGCAGCAGGCTCGTCGCTAATAGTAGCCGGGGAATAGTAAAACAAATGTTGGAACAAGTTGGACCTTCAAAGCCTCTGAAAGTCCCGAGCGTTGAACACCAGGTGGCCAGCGCAGGCAGAGGAGATGCTGATTTGGATTTGGTGGTCTTCCGCATCCCTGACAAAAGTCCTGCCGCAAAGAAGAGACCACTTGGAGCAGTCGATGATGTATCGCCGACAGACTTTTGCATCCGTCTGTACACCGTTCATTCGACTTGCAGCAGATCAGACGAGGTTTGTGTCAGCATGCACGCTTGCACGGAAGTGCCCCTGGTCCGTCTCCTCGGCCATTCGGGCGCAGACCGGACGTTGTCGCAGCGGCTCATGGACAGTATGCTGCAATGGACTGTGAAAAGCGATGTCCAGTTTTACTTGCGAGATCCGGCAGGATGTCCCTCTCTTGCCGACAACGCCGGTGCTATGGAAGTGCTACAGGAACTTCTGAATGCCGGGGCGGTCCATGGTTCCGACAAGGCTTTCCCAGTCGTCGGCCTGGATGAAGCATACGATTCACAACTTGCGGCATTGCAGGCTGCAGGCGTGGTTGTG